GCACTTCGTAAGTCTAGGCATTTTCTGAAGTGTTTTGCAGAAAACGCACTGCAGTCCATGCAACATGATTTCCTATGGGACACGTTCACATCTCCGCAATCTCATCATGTGTGTTTTTGGAAAGGGTCAGGGACTTTTTTTTAAAAAACACAAAGTTGTGTTTTTGGTTCTATAGACTTCAATGGAAATGCTGCAGACAAGCATGTAGTGCGCTTTCGATGTCTTTTGCCTAGCAAGAAAAAAAACATCCGCAAAACGCATAAAAAAAAAAAGTCTAAAAACGCATGGGAAAAAACACATCACAAAAAAGCACTGAAGAAATGGATCAAAATGCAAACTGCATAGGTGTGAACCTAGCCTTAAACTGGAAAAATATTCTCTGTACTGCAGTTATCTGAAGTACAATTGCATTGTATTCAACTCCTGTGTCTCACTGAAGAGTGAAGCTGCCTGTGGATGGTGCCGAGTCAGCAGGTGACCATATTGCCTGGACAGGTCTAAGGAAGTAGGTCATTGCATAAAGTGACATCTGAAACAGCAGTTTATCTTTAACGGGTATGTAAACCTTAATAAAGAGCTTCTTCAATTTACTTTTTTTGCCTGTGAAATATCCCAATGAAAGTGTTTTGTTATATCTGTCCAAAAATACTTCATTATCCTGCCTGAAATCTTGTGCTTTCATAAATTCCCGTGCTCTCTGTAGTGGTTTTCCCAAGCAGTGTCATCAACCCTGCCGAATTCATCTATGCGAGCTACAGAACCCCCCCCTCCCCCCTCATTTATGGAGAGTCTGGATACAACTTCAGTTGTAGGGTCACATCTCTGCTTCTCCATACAGTATAGTAGGTAAGTGCTGTGTCTCTAGGACAGGATGTGTGTTAGGACTACAGAACTATTCCCTTTAATTTTATAGAGAGAAAGCGTGTGCTGTAGTCCTAATACATTTCCTGTTCTAGGGGGACAAGACTGCTTCACCATGTACACAGAACAGTGAGTAAGCATGGTCACCCTAGGACAGGAAGTGTATTACAGGCAGGATCATCCAGGTGACAGTAAAGGGGGAAAAAAAAAAAAAGCCAGAAAAAGAAAAATGAATGCAGCCACCACATCTAAGAACTGGTAGGCAACAATGTATTACATTTTTTTTTTCTTGGATTTAGATACGCTTTAAGAATAGCAGCAGTTTCCTACCGTAATTCTCACGTGTACGGCACTTAAACAGAATCATAGAAAAGCAGATTATCGGATTAGCTGGGTTAGGTGAAGAAAAAAAAAAAAAAAAAAAAAAACCACCACGAAAAGAATTGTCAGCAATTTAGCAAATAGTGTTTAATGCAAACTTGTTGGTAAATGTTTTTAAAAAAGCAAAAAACATGTTCATCGTTAATTCTAATAGAAGAATCAAAAGGAGATGAATAATAGTTTAAATGAAATGAAACTGTTTCACTGAATAATACACATTCTTCATAGCAGCACTCTGTATAGAATTGAGATTAATGACTGGAATGATCTTGTAGTAATGTAATATTTTCATAATGTTAGGAATTCAGTTGTAAAATGATTGTTACGGGCAAGTGATCCCATATTAGAAAAATGGCACACTCCAGTCAAAAACTGAAATTGAAATCTTGAGATGCCTACAAGAAGCACAGTCTAGCTGTTGACCAGTTCAGTTTTTGATCCAGGAGATATCTTACTGCAGCAGCCTATTTCACACCCTTTTGTAATTCGGGGATGCTGGGACCCACTTGCTAGGAATGCTCTAACACACGTTGGATATGTAGTGTCAGGACCAGGGCCTGAACCCACAACGTCCGCTACTTCCAGCAGTAGCTCTTCTTACTGAGCCAACTGAGATGCTGAGCAGCAACCTGTTTGGTCCTTTGGATAATCTTGCCTTGTACCTTGTTTCTAGTGAACCTTGAACTCCTTGCTCCTCCTATGAACTTCCTATTTAGCAATGCCTTTGCCATATTATTGTGCTCTTCTCCAGCCAATATTTTGCGCTGGTCTCTCCTGCTACTATCCATATCCCAACTACTAGTTAACGACCCTGGCTTGTTCCTCGACTATGTATCTGCTTGATCCCAACCGGAAACCACTTGTTACAGACCTTTGGCTTATTGAAGGACTATGCTCCTACTTGATCCCTGTAACGGAACCGGACCCCGACTGCACTAGGGTATTTCCGTTATACTCCAGCTTCCCTGTCCGAACACAAAATCCCCGGACACCACCGCTGATCATGCAGGAAATAAGGCAGCACCGGACAGGACATTTTTACACAAACACAAGATATATACACAGGGCGGGGAAACAACCAGGAACAGGAAACACATCAGCCGCCCCATCAGTGGGAAGGACTACAGGAAACACCCCCCCACCCAACCAAGACAGAACAATGGGAAACAACACATGGCAGAGAACAATGGACAAACATGGCAGTGAACAAAGGACAATCCCCACACCAATACACAATACTAAGACATTCCCACCCTGTACCCATTAACAGGCACATGGTGGGTCAAACATAAGAATTAGGGAAGATACAGGGGTTCCCCCCACCCCCAAAAGTCACTCCTGTCACAATCCCTACCTGCGTTATCTGCTCATAGACCCCGGCTTGCTCACCTCCCAGTGGGGTGATTATGACGATAGTGACCTGGTACTAACACACGCAGCAAAACCCATCTCCACTATCAGGAGTTCTGGTGAATACTGGTTAGTGTTTAGATCCTGGCACCTCAAGTAAGAATGTGTCTTCTGCCAGGGTGACTTGCTTGTATTATCTAGCTGGTCAGTGGGAGCTAGATAACCACTGCTATAACTACTTGTCTTTGAACCTGACCATGACAGTCAAAACCAACCTGCTAATGATGCTGGAACATATCTGCTGGGGATTCTAGAACACACCTGCTAGGAATCTAACACCTGCTGTTAATGACGGAACACACCTGTTGGGTATGTCAGAGCCAACCTGCTGGAACATACAGTATCTGCTGGGGATGCTGGAGCACTCCTTACTTATTTTGATTATAATTAGAGATGAGCGAATCTCGAACTTGGCGAAGTGGAATTCGTTTAGAATATTAGAAAAAAATTCGATATTAGAAAAAAAAAATATTAGAAAAAGCCGAATCCGAAAATTAGCAGACTTCGGATGCACGAATCGAAATTTTTCCAAAAATGGCGGCGACATGTGTGGCGACGCGGGGATCTCTGGGAAGGCGCGCAGACAAGGCGCGCTGACCCATAATGCATTCATTCATAACATGTGATTGCATTAGCCAATCAGCAGCCAGCCAGCCAGCACTGTGTAATGGTGGAGCTATAAATTGCGGCCATTCTGACAATTCTCCATTTGCCTCCAGTCATTCAAGAGAGACAGACCTCTCTGTATTAGGGACAGAGTTAGGGCCACAGATACTGGACACATAATTGTTATCAGGGACACAGAACTGTTACTCAGGACAGACACAGAATTGTTACTGAGGGACACAGAAATTGTTACTCAGGGACACAGAACTGTTACTCAGGGACACAGAACTGTACTCAGGGACACAGAATTGTTACTCAGGGGACACAGAACTGTTACTCAGGGACAGACACAGAATTGTTACTGAGGGACCAGAATTGTTACTGAGGGACACAGAATTGTTACTCAGGGACAGACACAGAATTGTTACTCAGGGACACAGAATTGTTACTCAGGGACACAGAATTGTTACTCAGGGGACACAGAATTGTTACTCAGGGACACAGAACTGTTACTCAGGGACACAGAATCGTTACTTCAGGGACACAGAATCGTTGAATTAAAGAGTATGTCAGACAACACGCAGAGGAGTGTCAGAGGAGGCCATGTTTTAGGAGCGAGCAGACGTGGCAGCAGAGGAAGGGGGTCGAGGCAGCACTAGTCGCAGCCAGAGGCCAGTGCTCCCGGTGTCATCCAGCGGTCGTGTCTCCACCGACAACCCTGCCCGTCATCGATTGGTTGGCTCGGTCGTCTTCCTCTTTCCCAGGTCACCTCTGACACCTACAGCCAACGGATACGTCAGACACAACCGTTAGTTGGCATGGCCCGGAGCAAGCCCACTGAAATCACGTGTCCCTCTACCTGCCCCTGTCCCTTTGGTGTACCCTCACCAAGCGAAGTATCGCATGTCTGAGGGCTCAGCCCCACTGTACAGTGAGGAAGAGCTAACAGAGGGTGGTCAGGAACTGGGAGAAACATCCGCCTCTTCAGCAGCCAGGCGAAGAAGTACTGGCGAGGAGAGTGGCTCGGTAGCCGGTCTAGAGACAGCGTCTGTCTCCTGACCCACACGCAGCCGAGGGGGCTAGTAGTGAGGCGGAGACCCTAATTGATGATGATAGGCTGATCGCACTTGGCAGCCTCGTCGTCATCAGGCTGCTTGGGAGAAAGGGTGCCAGCTTGGCAGCGAGCAAAACATTCGGTGGGTTGCCCAGGCATGCTGGAGTAGAGCACCAGCTCCACTGCAGCTACCTACCACCACGGCCAGTAGTGTGCCGGTGTGCACGGAGGTAGCAGTCAGCCAGTGAGGATAGCGGGGGCAAAGTTTCCTACTCGGCAGTGTGCAATTTTTCGTCAAGCCGCCCGAGGAAGTAAACGTAGCCGTATGTCGACTATTGGAGCGTGGCCAGGGGGCCCATGTCTCCATCGCCACACTCTGCCATGTGCCACTTTCAGGTCTCCTCACACTGCAGGTGGGTTCCATTTTGTCATAGGTGCTGGCAGATTACGGGCCTCCCATTGCTGCTGCAGTCCCAGTAATCTGCCATGGGCCCCCGGCCTCCTCATGCTGCTGCCAGGTCCAGAGTCTCTCATGGGTCCCTGTAGGCCTCCCATTGCTGCTGTCTCCATCGCCACACTCTGCCATGTGCCACTTTCAGGTCTCTCACACTGCTGGTGGGTTCCATTTTGTCATAGGGTGCTGGCAATTACGGGCCTCCCATTGCTGCTTGCCAGCCCGTAATCTGCCATGGGCCCCTGTACCGCCTCCTCATGCTGCTGCCAGGTCCAAGTGTCTCATGGGTCCCTGTACGGCCTCCCATTGCTGCTGTCTCCATCGCCACATGTGCCACTCCTCACACTGCTGTTGGTTTCCATTTTGTCATAGGGTGCTGGCAGATTACGGGCCTCCCATTGCTGCTGCCAGGCCCGTAATCTGCCATGGGCCCCCGTACCGCCTCCTCATGCTGCTGCCAGGCTCGTAATCTGTCATGGCCCTGTACCGCCTCCTCATGCTGCTGCAGGTCCAGAGTGTGTCTGGGTCCCTGTACGGCCTCCCATTGCTGCTGTCTCCATCGCCACACTCTGCCACAGGTCTCCTGCTGGGTTCCATTTTGTATAGGGTGCTGTATGGCCTCCCATTGTGCTGCTGCCTCCACGCCACACACTCTGGTTTTGGCCCCGTGACTGCCCCAAATGAGTGAAGTGTGCGGTGATTCTAAGATCGACGTCACTCATCAGCATGTCATACTGACTACAGTATTATTTCTGCAGACTCCAAGGGCATTTAAATTAAAGGTACAGTGTTCTGCACTAATATAAAAGGCTCTCTGAAGCCTAGAAACACACCCTTTTTAAAGTTAAATTCGCAGCGAATATATTCGCCTCGAATCAAATTTTTCCTCGAATTCGCCGAATCAGCCGAATCGAATTTTTGAAACTCATCTCTAATTATAATCTGGTAACGGTGGAACAAATCTGCTGATGGTGCTGCAACATCTGTTGTGGATTCTGGAGCGCATCTGCTGATAATGCTGGAACACACCAGCTTAGAATGCTTTAATACACCTGCTGGATATGTCAGAACCAACCTGCTGAGGATTCTGAAACATACCTGCATGGGATTTGAGTATCCTTCTTACTTTGTCACTTGATCATAGTCAAATGGAAACACACCTGCTGATGGTGCAATAAACACATTCTGCTGGGGATGCTGGAACACACCTGCTATGAATATTTTAAAACACAGCAGGAGCACACCTGCTGACAATAATGGAACGCCATGCCCAGGATGCTGGCATACACCTGGTGGGGATACTGCAACCCACCTGCTTGGGATGCTAGAGCCCACCTGCTGAGGATGCTGGAACCCACCTGCTGGTGGTGGCAGGGCACACATGCTGGCAATGCTGTAACTCACCTACTTGGGGACGCTGAAACACCTGCTGGAGATGCTGGAACACACCTATTGGGATTGCTGTAACGCACCTGTAAGGAATGCTGTAATACACCTGCTGGTCCATGTCTCCAGTCTCTGACCATCTCTTAGCATGCTTGTAGTCTCCAACAATCTCATATTCCATCTCTGCAGTCCTTGATTATCTCTTGTAGCATGCCTGCAGTCTCTGACCATCTTTTGCGGCACACAAAAGTCTCTAGCCATTTCTGCAGTCACCGACCATCTCTTGTGAGGACATCCTTAATTTCTAATCTTCACCTGTTCTATGTCTGCAGTCTCTGACCATCTCTGGTAGCACCTTTGTAGCCTCTAACCTTCTCCTGTTCCATATAGGATCTGTAGTCTCTGACCACATTTTTAGCATGCCCGCAGTTTGACCATCTCTTGTAGCATGCCCATAGCTGCTAACCATCTCCTGTTCCATGTCTACAGTCTCTGACCATCTTCTATATTATACCTATTGTCTCTAATCATCTGTTTTATGTCTGCAGTCTGGTAAAGTCTACAAAACTTGCAAAAAACTTCTTTTCCATGGTTGCAGTCTGACCACATTTGTAGCATGCCTGCAGTCTCAGGCCATCCCTTGTGGCATACCTCGAGTCTCTGGCCAGCTCCTGTTCCATTTCTGCAGTCTCTGGCCATCTTTTGTAGCATGTCTTTAGTTTCTAATCATCTCCTGTTCCGTATCTGCAGTCTGACATTTTTATAGTGTTACATGCAACGGATATTATGTACAATCAGTGATGTCTGGGGCCACACTTGAGTCCCCCTATATCAGATAAGTTGACCACTATGAAACTGGATTTCTCCTCCTAGACTGCATCCTCTGAAATGGTAAGACGACCCGTGTGATAACGTGACCTGATTTTAGATGAAGATTTTATGGTACCTTCATCATTTATTTTTGTCATGGAAGGTTTTTAATGCCAGGTCCCATCTCTGCTGACCTGTGTCTTCATTCTGGTGCCTTGGCTTCCGCTGTAAAATACCTTCTTACTGAAAACACATTCTAGATCTTCTCTAAGACACTATTCAGAATAAAAGTCTGTTATATGTTCATAATGTAAGTAATTGAGCTCCAAAAATGTATTCTGAACCTACAGCTCTGGCTGATTCTTCCACAGACTATGCAAGGGAGCAACAAGCTGCCACAAACCGGTTAAGAGTAATGCATATTTCAATAGTACATGCCTCTATACCACCGCTGTGCTCAGTCCAATTTCTGTGATGACGCACACTCCATGCAATCTGCCGGCACACTGATTAAACTTCTCCTGCAAACAGACCGGGTGGATAGCAAGGATTGCACAGGTCAGTGATGTAGCCCAGAAGTAAACCAGAAGCCATAGAGATTGAAAATGAAGACATAGGGGTTTTTTGGTAAATTTTAATTTTTGAAAGTTTACAGAATGTATATTAAAAAAAATAAAATTATATATTAATTACACACACACCAAAAAAAATTAAAGGAACACTCTTTAAATCAGTATAGCATCAAGTCAATGAAACTCCCAGGACTTGATCTGGTCAGTTAAATAGAGGGATTTGCTTTGTCATTAACACCAAAGCAGCTGAAACTAACAGGTGCACTAGATGGGCAACAATGAGACGATCTCCAAAACAGGAATGGTTTTACAGGTGGAGGCCACTGACATTTTTTCTCCTACTCATCTTTGATGGTTTTTCACTAGTTTTCCATTTAGCTAGGGTCAGTCTCACTACTGGTAGCATGAGGAGACACTTGGACCCTACAGAGGTTGCACAGGCAGTCCAACTCCTCCAGGATGGCACATCAATACGTGCCACTGTCAGAAGGTTTGCAGTATCTCCCAGCACAGTCTCAAGAGCATGGTGGAGATTCCAGGAGACAGGCAGTTACTCTAGGAGAGCTGGACAGGGCCGTAGAAGGTCCTTAACTCATTAGCAGGACTGGTATCTGCTCCTTTGTGCAAAAGGAACAGGATGAGCACTGCCAGAGCCCTACAAAATGACCTCCAGCAGGCCACTGGTGTGAATGTTTGACCAATCAGAAACAGACATGAGGGCGGCCTGAGGGCCAGACGTCCTCTAGTGGGCCCTGTGCTCACTGCCCGGCACCATAGAGCTCGATTAGCATTTGCCATTGAACATCAGAATTGGCAGGTCTGCCACCGGTGCCCTGTGCTTTTCACAGATAAGAGCAGGTTCACCCTGAGCCCATGTGACAGACATGAAAGGGTCTGGAGAAGCTGTGGAGAATGTTCTGCTGCCTGTAACATCGTTCAGCATGACCATTTTTTGTGGTGGGCGAGTGATGGTCTGGGGAGGCATATCCATGGAGGGGTGCACAGACCTCTACAGGCTACAAAATGTCACCCTGACTGCCATTAGGTATCGGGATGAAATCCTTGGACTTACTGTCAGACCCTACGCTGGTGCAGTGGGTCCTGGGTTCCTCCTGGTGTACAACAATGCCCGGCTTCATGTGCCGAGAGTATGCAGGCAGTTTCTGAGCATGAAGGAATACCATTGAATTGCCCCCCACTTGCCTGACCTAAATCCAATAGAACACCTCTGGGATATCATGTTTTGGTCCGTAAGACACCTCCAGATAACACCTCAGACTGTCCGGGAGCTCAGTGATGCCCTGCTCCAGATCTGGGAGGAAATACCCCAGGACACCATCCATCGTAGCATTAGGAGCATGTCCCAACATTGTCAGGCATGCATACAAGCACTTGGGGGCCCATACATACTGAGGACCATTTTGAGTTGCTGCAATGAAATTTCAGCCAAATAGCCCAGCCTGCTGCATCAATTTTTCACTTTGATTTTCAGGGTTTGTCTTTGAATTCAGTGCTCTGTAGGTTGATCAATTTTCATCAACCGATGGGGCATCCTTATGTCCCTAACACATTACCCAGTCCATATCAGTATAGATATCCAGCATGTTATTTTTTTTACTATTGAGATCTGATGTGTTTTCAAAGTGTTCCTTTTTGAGCAGTGTGTATCTATATCTATATATCCACTTCCCTACCACCATACGTATATATACATACTGCCTGGTAAAGCATTTATACCAGGATCATTGTTGAGGCTACAAGCAGCTAATTGATTACTTTTGCAGGTGGAGGAAGGGGGTCCCACCACTCTTATCCTGCAGTCTTTATGAGGCTCTCCCAAGCAACTGTGGAGCCTGGCAAGTGTGCAACCAGCAGCATCTGGCTCCAGCACACAGTAAAAGGAACTGGTGGTGTTCCTCCTAATGACATCAGAAACCAGAAGCGATGAAGATTGTCATTTCCAGTTTGGCCCAGGCCTATCAGCTGGGCTGCTCCTACTCTGCCATACAGGTAGCCCTTTCTTAGGATTCCAGTGAGTCCTGAGTTTTCCTCCTTTCCAGCTCCAGGCTCGCAGCCAGGCCCCATCCCACTAGGTCTCCTGGCAGCCTTACACATCTTTTCTCCTTCCACCCGACTCTCCTCCTATTGAGCAGGCTCCAACACTTTAAGGGATTCCAGCCCCTTGCCAAGCCTCCTGTTGGGGATTTGAGGGACCTCAGCCAAAGTTCAGCCAACCACTGCTTCCAAGGACCTCCTCCAAAAACCTCAGATCAGTGGGAAACTCCATTGGGGCTGGCCTGCAGAGTCTCTCAGCCCTGACAGAATATGACCCCTCTGACTACCTCGCCTGAGCTGCTAATCAGCTCCCCACTAGCCATCAGGGTCTAGCTCCCCTTAACTAAACTAGGAGGATGCTACAAAGGGTACCTGTCATTGCCAATTGCTGTTACAAGGGATGTTTACATTCTTTGTGACAGCAATAAAAATTAACAAAAAAAAAAAAAGAAGAAGAAGTGCCCCAGTCCCCACCATGCTTATGGTCAAAAGCAAACAGGCATTAGTCCAGCACGCATACACAAACGGATCACACCACAAATGTAAGGTAAGGTATTGGCGCAAACTTTAGAGTGAGACCAAATTAGTCTAGCACAAGATATCCCATTTAACTCTAACCTGGTAGCCTTTAAAAGGCTTTTGTAGTGTTGCCTATGAATAAATTAAAGTACCATAGTTTAACAAAAATGTTGATATTGTGTTCACTAAAATTCAAGTGTATTTTTTCCCAAAAATCTGTATTTGAAAAATTGCCGCACAACTACTGTGTGACCTAAAAAATTGCAACACCCATCAATTTATGCTCTAGGGATAATATATTAAATATCTATTTTTATATTGTTAGGGGGTTCTAAATTCTCCAGCAAAAATCTATTTTTTACATGGAGAGAAATGTCAGAATTGGCCTGGTAGGAAAGTGGTTATTCACACAGTATATATTGTCTGGTCCCTTTTGTTCCTTTAAATCAGGGAACTTGAATTAA